GTTGGACGCCAGTCGTTGCTATCCTTTTTGGGAACCATGTGCAATGGCGATGCCCAAGGACTGTTTGACGGTCTGATAATGCCCAGTTCGAGCATGTGGTCGAATTCATTTTTCGCCGTTTGAGCTTATCGGGGGCTAAACGGCGCGCTTTGGATGCCACAGGTGGACCTGTGGTTGTGACGTGATGCATAACATTGCTGGTTATGCACGGAAGAGTGTGCTTCGGTTGTTGTAACTCTGGATATTTCTCCAGAACTGCCTGGTAGGACGCGTCGCCTGATTGTTTAGTCCTAACGATGGCTAAACTCGGACCTACATAGGTGGTGCCGCCAATAGATAACTTTGTGTTGTTATCTATCAGTCGTCGACGGCGAGCATCTACGAGTAGATCGTAATGGTTTAGCAAATCTATGCCAATGATGGGCATAGAGACGTCAGCCAGGAGGAAATCCAGTGGATAGGTTTGCGTAAACCTAAGTTGAGGTAGGCATACCGTCTCCCGAATGTCGCGATTGCCTTGCCGTTGGCTGCTTGAAGATTGAAGGATGGGTCGAGATGACGCTCCTTTGTCGTTGCTGGAAGAACGCTAACTTCTGCGCCGGTGTCGACGAGGTAGCGGACTTTCGTTTTAATGTCGGTGACGTAGAGCAAACGGCTTTTTCCGCCGGCTACGGTTGCCGTGAGCACGTGCCGGCGTGACCGTTTCCCGAGTTTGTGTCCTTCTTAAAACGGCATGGTTTACGACATTTTCTGGCTTCATCCCCGTAAGTGTTATGAAACCAGCACCATTCAGGGTTTTCCACCCTGTTGGGTTTCGTTTTAGGGCTACCACGCGACTTGCTGCGATGCGCCAAGGTGCGTTTCTGTGAAGTGCTACGTGATCTAGGACTTCGAGATCGTAGCAACCGTTTCACAGAGTTGCACAACTTGGTCACCTCTGAATCCTGGCGCTCTGGTTTGTCGCAGATAGAATATACGTTGGAGACGGGTCTGCTGGATATCTCCAGTATTTTATCTGCTGAGGCTGCCAGGTCGTCGAGTGGGACTGACTGGAGTGTCACCAACACGGTTTGCACCGGTTGTGGTAGTTTCGAGAGAAATAGTTCTCGGAAGAAACCATCGTCAAATGTTCGTGCACCGATTACTTCTCGCATGCGTGCGAGGACTTCAGTAGCTGAGTGGCTGCCTAGCTCGATGTTACGAAGCAATTCGTCTAGACGTTGGCGATCTGTGAGATCGCTTTTCTTCAAGAGTGCGGCCTTTAGAAGTGCATAAGGGTCACTTACTTCAGGATTAAACATGTTTGCTGTAACATACCTGTTTAATTCTCGCGGTAGTGACGTATGACAGCAAGAAATCGAGAATGAGGATCTGAGACACCCTGTTCTCGAAAATCGGCCTCGGCATACAGAAACCATGTTTCTGCATTGTCTGGCCAATATGGCACGAGTTGGATCGTGTTCGAGTCGGCTTAATACGAATAAGCTTGGGAGTGTGGTCGGACATGAGAAAGTGTAGTAAATGGATATATAAATGTTATCGAAATGAAAACAATAAACAAATATAAAATGGAACAGGCTCACCAATTCAATACTTGTTATTGGTCGGGATATGTGATCACGTCGGGCTCACCAATTTAGGATTTGTCCTGGTGCGAACTTGACAGACGCAAAGACCAATCACTAATTATTCGAACTTGTTATATACCCACGAATACGAGACCAAGGAAGAACACGATAGCGTAGTCGGATGGAATAGTATATTTGGATGGTTATGCCAAAATACCGATGCGTTCCAACTAACTGGCTAGAGAGTCGAATACGAGCAATGCAACGTAACACGACAGCGTGCCAAATGGCGAGGATGCTTGACCGGGTGCCTTCAGCTTAGCGAGTCCAGTTAAACTATCAAGGTCAGCATCAATGTCGAAAGTCGTCAAACCCTAGGCTATTGATTTTGGGGAAGTGTGTGACGCTACAGGTCCATAGTTTTCTGACACCTTACTGGAGCTTGAGAAAACCAGGCAGGTTTCAGACTCGGACGACGATGCATCGATCATACTTGCACCCTCCCACAGGTTGTGAAACAGACATACTTACTGGTCAATGGCCGTTACTTGCCATATTTCTTGACCTGAAGGTGGCATTTGACTCTGTTTGACGTGAGGTGTTGTGGCGATGTTTGACTGCGAAGAAAGTATCGAGCACGTATATACCGCTAATCAAAGCCCTTTGATCATACTCACCCAGCTTTGTTAGAGCTTTTGTAAAATTGTCATGTGAATTGATAACAACTAGTGGTGTGCGACGGGGACGCCTTCTATCACCATTTCTATTTAACTCCGTTATAGACGTACTTATGGGCATAACCTTATGTACGTGTGACCTTTTAGGGATTGGCCTACTCCCTGAAGGTCATCTGGTTGACTTTGAGTATGCATACAGTATTGTTCTACTTGGTGGAAACACCGATAAAATACAGGGTCTTCTGGACGCGTTGAATAGAAATCTAAATATGTTCGGCATACGTTCCTCAGGCACCTTTCAAATGTAAGATGATGCTATAGGACTGGTCTGCTTCAAATACCCCCAGTTCAATGAGAGAGAGAGAGTGAAGTGTTGGAATGTGTGGACCACTTCACTTACTTGGACTAGTTGCATCGGTCTGAATATAGTGGTTGCCAACGAAATCTCAGCTCAGATTCAGAAGGCTCGTTTGACATTTACCGCATCACATATGTCGCCGACTGCAAGATATCCAATTATTTATTAAAGGACAAGTATCCTCCACTGCAACCCGTTCTGTCCTGTTCTACAACTGTGAGAAATGGCCGTCAAAAGTAGAAGACATGGAGCTGGCACAAGTGTTTGACCATAAGTGTCTACATAGCATTGCTCACGTTTGGTAGAATCATTGTATGAGCGATATTGGACTCGGATGAAGGGAACTAGGCAAGATAGGCAAGTTGATTGATGAGTTTGTGAACCTTAGTCGACTGATATGACTTGGACATGTACTGTGCATGCCAAGCCATCACCTACATCGATGTGCCATCCTCGGGGAAGTTGGATAGTCGATGAAGTTTTGTACTGTTGGTACCACGTACCACGCTAGGGAAAGCTGGATTATGTCGTAAGAGGGTTCAGGGTGGCCAGATCACGACGTGGCACCAGTCGATAAAGTCTCTGAATGTTGGTCTAAGTCGTATAGGGGATGTGGACAGCCTGGTTGGGGTTCCCGAGATGAAAGGGATCAGGGGTTGGGCACTCTTGGTGACGTGGGTGAAAATCGGTCACAATGGCGCAGGTGTATTCACTTCTTGACATCTTTTAAGCATTGAATATTCACACTAACCTTTGTCTTCAGACTGTTTGTTCTCTTACACTACTTTGTGTTTTTTGGTATCACTCTTTTTCTATCCACCTATTTTTAAATACTACTGTGAAGTGTGACAACTTGAGCTGATGCGCCTGTGTGCGAGGTTTTACGTTAACTTTGTCGATCAGGTATTGTACTGAAATTTATTTTAATGACAAACAATCTCTATGTTTACGGTTTAGTTTCATCTCCTAACAAGACTGTCATTGATCGTTCCTTTTATTTATTATACCTTCATGTGAACAGAAGATGTGTCATAAATGATATAACTTAACAGAGGTCTAACAGTCTTACCTACCGTTTTGTGGAGCTGTAGCTCTTTGGTTAAGGCAGTCGTCTTTCAATCAGTAAGTTATAGGTTCGAATAATTCTGCACCTACCGAAGTTTAGTCATCCATATACTATAACTAAACTTCACATAATAGGTCTGGCTCATTTCCTACTGTATGAACATACACAAGTTGCTGAGTACGTTTCAATCTTCTCGATTCATCCTACTTTGTGAATATAAATGCTCACTTTGACTTTGTTTCAAGACTAGAATATATAGGTAACTGCTGTTAGCAGTATATCAGAAATGCAAATTCAAATTTAGTCTGTCTGAGGCTTTTTGATACTGGTATGACATTCTTTGTAAAAAGACATGTAAATACTGGATGGGAAGTTTCTTAGTGCCTATTTTTCCTCTCTGCAGGGATTCATTAACTTTCATCCGAAGATAGGATTGCCAACTGCTCACTCAGTAATTGTAGCAACAAAGGATCTCAAGCACACACTGAATCATGTACTTTTGTGTGTAAAGATTGCCAGCTAAAATGATTCTGTTGCAGTGGTTTTAACTGTGAAAATGAGTAGTGTGGTGTATGATTTTCATGAAAGCTGAACATATATTTCGGTGTTAAATAGTTCCCTCTTTTCTTCTGTCTTTTATTTTTAATGCAATTGTGCTGTGTTCTTTGCTAACTTATTATATATACCTCCAACTGTTAGCCTGAGCGGTGAAAGAAGATCCAAACTAACTTTTTGGGGTCCTCGAGATAATAGGAAACAATGGTTGTAGAACCTTGGTGATATTGCTGAAAATTAGTCATGATGGCACAAATACTTTCTCTTTTTCATGTCTTCTGAGGTTCGAACATTTTCATCAACTGGGATTTCCGAATTCCTTCTCCTTCCACACACTTCTGTCAACCTCGATATCACTCTTTCTCTACCCGCTTACTTTTTCATGCTGATTGGAATTGTGGCAACTTGAACTGATGGACTTTTGTGCGAATTTATATGTTGCTTTCATCTGTTGTCGAATGGTGATTGGCAGTAAGAATGAAGCCGATACAAATGAGTGTCTCCCTGAAACCTGTAATTCTTTTTAAAGTGCTTATTAATTATGATACCTTAATTCTGTGTAGAGATCGTTGAACTTCAGTATTTATACAATATTTATGTAAGGTAGGTGATATGAGTGTACCAACCCAATCTTTCATGTATAAGTAGAGTTTTCTTACTCTGTGGAAAAAAAACACCATTCTTATAAAACAGTTGATTTCAGATATGTTTTGATTTTGACTATAATTTGTGGCGAATCTCAAGACTTTCACTTTTTGTAAAATTCATTTCTCCAGGTAGAATACAAATTTGTGTCATACGTTAGAAATCCGAACTACGACAACTTTTTTGACATAAAGCGGCCTAGATTAAAGACAGGTTATACACTTTTGCACTTATCAAGTGCGTTAAACAAGCGTCGATCCATTTTTCAAGCCACTACCGTCTGGAACAACCTTTCAAAATGTGTAGATAATTTAAGTCTTATGACACGAGTATTTGGACTTGCTCTTTCTGAACAGTGTCATCAGTTGTCAGTTGAATTAGAAGGAATCAAAGGTCCAATAATTCAGTCCGCTGGAATCATTCCTGCTGTGGTAAGTTTTGTCTGCATTCCGTTTAATTTCTTGATATCAAGGTTGAGAAGCTAATGAAAATAGTAGATACCTGTGAGAGACGGCCTGATGACCTACCGCTAAAACGGGGAGAACCACAACTACCTACAGTGTCAGAAGTTCAATCAGTACAGAATGAATTGAGGGTATGTCTATCTTTGGTTAGTTTTAACAGTTGTTTTAGCGCATCGAGAGTGAATCACATGCAACTGTCTCAAACGTTTTTACAACGGCTGAAGATTTTATCTACAACGGTGTATTAAATAACTCAGATTGTATGAACCAGGAGACAGAAGCAGTTAAAAACTTATATGCTAAATTCAATGAAGAACGGGAAAAAGAGTATACTGAATGTACAAAACAGGAAACGCGAGAGGAGATTATGAAAAGTGCAAAAGAGAAGTTAAGAGAAATTCTAGATGAAGAGGAGCGTATAACATATTTCACAAACCTAACGAAAATTAATCGGAGTGCATGGTTGGCGCCTCGAACACGTCGAGAATCTCAGTGGTCAAGAATGAAAGAATGGAGGCAGGAAGTTTCTTCTTTTAAACAACAGCAAGAGAATAACGAACCTCAGTGAATATAACAGTCATCCTTGTGTACTTTTGATGTTACAATAAATCAGTTCCTATTACAAGGCTGTATTTTCAAGATTTTCAGTCTAACAACTTATGTAATATTCGGGTTTGTGATTTTTCAGGTATTGCTCATCATTTAGATGTTTGACTGTCTATAAAATCGTGACTAATTGGCCTAAACTGGGTTATGAGTCGTAAGATAATTTGCTTTGATTTAAACAAGCTGCTACGACGTCAAGTTATGTTCAATAGCTCGTTCATGACTGTTGAATTGGTTGGTAACATGTAAAAGAATTAGCCGGCTGCTTGTCGGGATCAGTGTAGGAAGCAAGCACAGTGGTGAGCTTTTCTTGGTTAGAGGCAATCAACAGAAACTTCTGGATCTAGGTTTCGTACTTTTTAGCACCGGTCAGCAAGGTCCATCTGAAACCTCCAAGGAACTGACATCCTGTCTAAGATTCGGACCCATATCACCCAGTGTTGCAGTCAGCGACGTTACCACTGTTCTGTCTGTAATTGGCCTTTTGTAGGATTCGATTGGATTGAATTGGATACATTGATTGTTCACTAGAGAACAAGATTCAAAATAGTCACTTTACAGTGAACAGTTAATGTACAATGGTGTATTGGTTCAAACCCGCAAAATCTTCGAAAGCACAAGTCAAAAAGACTGAAGAGGGTTAGAATAAATTGAAGGATGAGTAAAAGACAAACTAGGATGTTGAATATTCAACGATAAATGCATACGTTACAAGTATTTATTTTCAGTCTTATCTATTAAGGTGCTTTTTTTCCACCCTCTTGCTTCTGAATCATTTCTTATCCATTCATCCTCTAACATTGAGTCAGTCGGCCTCTTGACGTATGTCAAAACATTTAAGTCATCTGTTTATGAGATGATGACATTTTATTTTCACCCTGTCTTATTCCCTCTTTACATAAAAGAAGAGTCTCGAAGAGATGTATTCATCGGAAAACTGTTCGGTGGAGATCTGCACTCAGCATAAAGATCAAGATCCGGATTTTCAACACCAACGTCAAGTCAGTGCTCCTATATGGTTCAGAAACTTGGCGTGTTGCGAAAAGCATTTCCAATAAACTACAGGTACTCATCAACAACTGCCTACGCTGGCTCGTTACTGAAGCTCAGATGGCCAGCCATAATCAGCAACAAGCAACTCTGGGAACGAACCGACCCAGAACCTATCGCTTAGCAAATATGCAGCAGAAAATGGAGATGGATTGGGCATACACTGAGAATACCATTCGGGGACATCACGTGTCAGGTACTCGAGTGGAACCCAGGTGGGAAACGGCGAGTTGGGCGTCCCAGCTGAGGGTGACATATAGGAGGTCGTGTGATGAAGAAATGAGAGTTTGTGGGGAGTGTTGGAGCCATATTTAAAAGACCGCAGAGAACAGAGTGCAATGGAGACGTGCTACTGAAGCGCTATGTTCCATTAGGAACCCAAGGGACAAATAATAATATAATAATGATAACTTTCCACTAATGAAATGTTAAGATTTTGTCTGGTACCATCCAAACAAACGTTGAAACTCAAATTTTATTACTATTCGTATCTAGATGACGACAGAGTAGCTTCTATAAACTTCCAAACGGTCAAGGATGATTGTGTTTACTGCAACTCTTCATAATAATAGTTTGCAACATTTTCCATGTTATTAACTATATTACTTATGAGCACCTGATATTTTATGTGCTGTTTCTTAATTATCTTCGATTGGTTGTCTGTTGTAAATCGAAGTGGTAAGATCTAATTCCATATTAGACTTGTCAATTTGCTTTACAACACACAGTGATACAGTATTATTTACTTGATGATGTTTTGAGCATACATTATTACTACTCATAATCATATCAGTGTAATCACACTACTTTCGACATCTGCTCTTTTTAGTAATGTCATTTCATATTCTTGGTTGCTATTGGTAGTAAAATTTTCCATATCTTTGGCATAGGTGTTGCCTCATTTCCATTACATGTTTTGGATGTTGATTGATGCGATGAACAAGGATTCAGTGGTCAATCTCTCTCTCCATCTGTATTGGACTTAAGGACAGTGGTTTTATCCCACCCATCCCATTGCATGGTTGTGTGTTAATGTAGACATCACAATAGCCGAGTTTTTTTTTTTTAGATTATTGATCTTATTCGTGTCTGTCATTCTATATTCAACTAAATTCCTATGTTTGGCTATTCTAACTGACTCCGACTGGCTGACTGGTTTGACCTATGTACTTGACCTCGCAGTCATTATATAGAATTTGATAAACTGGATTATTATGCTGAATTGAATTTATTGGATCCGTAAGCCAACAAAGCTTATCTTTGAGTGAGTTTGCAAGTTCAAATGGCACCCTAATTCCAAATTTGTTGAGAATCCTACGTAAAGTTACTGATGTACCTTCCTCATAGGGTAACACAATGGAGGATTTGAAATTCCTACTTGTGTTTACGTTATGAGTCATACTCGTTTTACTTCTGTTATTTCGTTCCTTGTGTATTCGTACGAGTTTCTTAATGGACTGCAGAGGATAATTATCACCTATTAGCTCTTTCTTTGTGTGCTTCAGTTCCTTGTTTAGGTCTTTATACTGACTAATCTGATTTCTAGCTCTATCATCTAGACATTTGCAACGAACCAACCAAGAACCTATCGCTTAGCAAATATGCAGCAGAAAATGGAGATGGATTGGGCATACACTGAGAATACCATTCGGGGACATCACGTGTCAGGTACTCGAGTGGAACCCAGGTGGGAAACGGCGAGTTGGGCGTCCCAGCTGAGGGTGACATATAGGAGGTCGTGTGATGAAGAAATGAGAGTTTGTGGGGAGTGTTGGAGCCATATTTAAAAGACCGCAGAGAACAGAGTGCAATGGAGACGTGCTACTGAAGCCCTGTGTTCCACCAGAAACTCAAGAGACAACTACTACTACTAATCTAGACATTTGACTAAACTTGCCTTAACTGACAGTAGTAGACACAATCCAATACAGCTAAAAGGTGGAAAATAAATATTGAGAAATGCCTGTGTTGGATTACTGGATAAAACGAAGAACAAACGATGATTTGGATACTACCTTCTACGGAAAACCGACATGTTCTAACGGGTGTCTAGACTTCAAGTCATCTCAACCAATGTCAGTTAAGATAGGTTTAGTCAAATGTCTAAATGATAGAGTTAGAAAACTGACTGGTCAGCGTAAGGACCCAAGCACTTAGTGATAAAGATCTGACAGATACAATCCAACAAAATAATCCAGTTTATCAAATTCTATATAATGACTGCGAGGTCAAGTACATAGGTCAAACCAGTCAGCCAGTCGGAGTCAGTTAGAATAGCCAAACATAGGAATTTAGTTGAATATAGAATGACAGACACGAATAAGATCAATAATCTAAAAAAAAAAAACTCGGCTATTGTGATGTCTACATTAACACACAACCATGCAATGGGATGGGTGGGATAAAACCACTGTCCTTAAGTCCAATACAGATGGAGAGAGAGATTGACCACTGAATCCTTGTTCATCGCATCAATCAACATCCAAAACATGTAATGGAAATGAGGCAACACCTATGCCAAAGATATGGAAAATTTTACTACCAATAGCAACCAAGAATATGAAATGACATTACTAAAAAGAGCAGATGTCGAAAGTAGTGTGATTACACTGATATGATTATGAGTAGTAATAATGTATGCTCAAAACATCATCAAGTAAATAATACTGTATCACTGTGTGTTGTAAAGCAAATTGACAAGTCTAATATGGAATTAGATCTTACCACTTCGATTTACAACAGACAACCAATCGAAGATAATTAAGAAACAGCACATAAAATATCAGGTGCTCATAAGTAATATAGTTAATAACATGGAAAATGTTGCAAACTATTATTATGAAGAGTTGCAGTAAACACAATCATCCTTGACCGTTTGGAAGTTTATAGAAGCTACTCTGTCGTCATCTAGATACGAATAGTAATAAAATTTGAGTTTCAACGTTTGTTTGGATGGTACCAGACAAAATCTTAACATTTCATTAGTGGAAAGTTATCATTATTATATTATTATTTGTCCCTTGGGTTCCTAATGGAACATAGCGCTTCAGTAGCACGTCTCCATTGCACTCTGTTCTCTGCGGTCTTTTAAATATGGCTCCAACACTCCCCACAAACTCTCATTTCTTCATCACACGACCTCCTATATGTCACCCTCAGCTGGGACGCCCAACTCGCCGTTTCCCACCTGGGTTCCACTCGAGTACCTGACACGTGATGTCCCCGAATGGTATTCTCAGTGTATGCCCAATCCATCTCCATTTTCTGCTGCATATTTGCTAAGCGATAGGTTCTTGGTTGGTTCGTTGCAAATGTCTAGATGATAGAGCTAGAAATCAGATTAGTCAGTATAAAGACCTAAACAAGGAACTGAAGCACACAAAGAAAGAGCTAATAGGTGATAATTATCCTCTGCAGTCCATTAAGAAACTCGTACGAATACACAAGGAACGAAATAACATAAGTAACACGAGTATGACTCATAACGTAAACACAAGTAGGAATTTCAAATCCTCCATTGTGTTACCCTATGAGGAAGGTACATCAGTAACTTTACGTAGGATTCTCAACAAATTTGGAATTAGGGTGCCATTTGAACTTGCAAACTCACTCAAAGATAAGCTTTGTTGGCTTACGGATCCAATAAATTCAATTCAGCATAATAATCCAGTTTATCAAATTCTATATAATGACTGCGAGGTCAAGTACATAGGTCAAACCAGTCAGCCAGTCGGAGTCAGTTAGAATAGCCAAACATAGGAATTTAGTTGAATATAGAATGACAGACACGAATAAGATCAATAATCTAAAAAAAAAAACTCGGCTATTGTGATGTCTACATTAACACACAACCATGCAATGGGATGGGTGGGATAAAACCACTGTCCTTAAGTCCAATACAGATGGAGAGAGAGATTGACCACTGAATCCTTGTTCATCGCATCAATCAACATCCAA